AACCTGTCAAATGTATCAAGAATTCTGAAAATTGTAGAGCCATACCTGATCCATGCCCACATCAACCACCTTCTCTTCAAGCACCCCTATGTCTTTGATATTGAACCTGTTGATCATTGTGATACTTGAAATAGAAGACATGGGTCTCACCTCTAGATCATCCATGATCATATATGTTACCACACCTTTCACATAACCTTCCTCAGGAGAGGAAGACTGCTTATTTTTTGGATCAACATATTTCAGTTCTTTGGTCAAGCAGTTTGAACAATTGGCACATCGCGTAGTGGGGTCATTCGTCACCTGATAACTACAGCTACCATTGTAGGAGTTGGGACACCCATAAAACCTTGCCGAATTTTTAATCGGAATGTTTGGCAACAGAAGAGCAGTAGTTGCTGAGGCGTATACAGTAGGCTTCAATAGGGCATCCAAGGCCACCTGAGATGCCTGCTTGTATGTATCACCTAAAGCCTCAACGCTATCATAAAGTTTTCCAAGGGAACCATCCATCCCTTGTTTAGACAGAATTGTTATCACCCACCCAATAGGCAGAGACAGTAAGTTGAACAGAAAATCAACAAACTCTTTGTCAGCTTCAGCAAAGAGTACTCTGTGGCCTTTCGTATCTACTAGAAGCTTCAAGCTCAGTTTGGTTTCGGAGGCTACCATCGACACAGACGCCATATTACTCTGTTTCTGAGAATCGCGGATAGTTTATATCAGAGATTTCTGAGAATAACAGATCTCAGTCAATCTGGTTACTTTCCACTGATGATAGAAGGTTATGAATACAAAAGACAATGACCAACCAAAAAATTAACAACTTTTTTCATATTACAATTTGTTGATGGAAAGATTGACACAATGAAAGAAAATTCTTGAAATGGGTTATCCAATCTAAGTAAAAACAACAGGAAACCATGACAAAATTGCAAAATAATTATTCTATTTTAAAAGTAATCTCAAAGCTATAATGATATTTCTCACCTGACGACCCAAATTAAAAAACCAAGATGGTGTAAAATACCATGAATAGTTAATCAACATCAAAATTGAGAGAAAGGAAGACCAGGTTACCTACAAGGCTAGAAGCTAGAGCCACTTCCGTCGCTGGTGAAGGTTGGAGGGGAGGACGTTGCTCGGCTAGCGTTTGTTGCTACCGTCGTTAGAGTGAATTCAGAGAAGATTTTGGGATGAAACGAAGAAGGGTTGGAAGGAAGAGGAGAGGGCTGCAGGCTCTACTAGTGGGAGTTGGAGTGTAAGAGAAGTTTTCGCTTTTAAAAATTTGGCCTTTACTTTTTAGCATGTTTTTCTTTTTACATTTTTTTCCAAAGATAATCATAAAATAGTTTATTAATGTTGATTACCCCTTAAAATTCAAAAATGAAATTTGAAAATTAAGCTTTGAAATGGTTAAAAGGAGTGGTCACCTTTCCAATTACATT